CACACACACCCCTCACCATCTCTCTCTCAATGTGCTCGCTCTCTTCCTCACTACCTCTGCCACAGCTGCGGTACCCTGCCCCAACGACTATCTTCCTCACATGATGGTGTTCAAGTGTCCAGGGTCGTAAGCGCACAATAACGCTGCAGTCTGCCGGCGGCCTCCATTTTGGGAATGCAGGTACGTCCCATGTGGCTTGTAACATCGTCGTCAAAGATTCGGACCGTCCTTGGCCCTTCCTGGGACTGAGCTGCGACTTAACCAGCAGTTAATGGCAAACCTCCGCCTGCTGACTACCCGGGACCATTAGCGCTCCTTAGGGCCATATTCTACCAGATCTCTATATTGGCCTGTGCAGTACCTCCGAAAAAATTCAGCAATCGATCCTATGATACAAAAAAATGGAACTTGGTACCAGGACAGGACATCTGGGGTCCCACCGGCCTAATTTTTGGGAAACGACTTCTAGGGTCCCACCGGACTAATTTTGAGCTCCTACAAAAGAAAATGTACTGGGACATGACTTCTGGGGTAAAAAGAAGAATTGCTTCTTTTTACCTATCAAGTTCACAAGGAGCTTGCTCATAATGTGAGACAATGTGTGGCTGCTCTTTGGGGAACCACCTATCCTCTTGTGGATATTGGTCCTGCCATCTGACTCAAAGCTATTGACTTAATCAGCCCGTCTGCTGGTGATTTGTCATCCTCCACCATTGCTGGCCTGTCCACGCTGGTGATATGTCATCCTCTACCAACAGGCCGTGGGAAATGCCAGTTTTCCTTCTTTTTTCTTTTCGCAAACCTTTGTCAGTGACGGTCAGTGCTCTCCCATGAGAGAGCCTACCCCGCATGTGATTCGTTGTTAGTTGTCAGAAAAAGCACACTGCCGCACTGTTTTTTTTTTTTTTTTTTGCTTCCACAAAGCCTACATGGCAGTCCTTTGTCCTTTATTTGCTTCCACACTGCCGCATCTGTGCGTTCTCCCATGAGAGAGCCTACCCTCCTGTACAGCCCTGCTGCTTCCTGCCTAGTCTGAATACATCAACAGAGCAAGCGAGAACTCCGAAGTTGTGCTGAATGGAAGTCAGAGCAAATCATTCATGGAATGAGAGCAAAGCGGATTGATAACGCCAAGAGCACACAAATTAATGACACCAAGTACATCGACGCCAATGAAAGCACCCGAGAACTCACCTCCAACATCAATAAAGCGGCAACGCAGAAGTGTCGGCAATTGAGTGACCTCTAAACTACTCCTCTATGCTACACAGACAACAACTCTATCTCTCGCTTTCTTCTCTCCCTGTCCTCCTGACCTCTTGCCCAGCAATGCTGCAGTCTGATCACCAGTGGTGTGCTCTTCGCCATTACCAGGCAAGTACCAACGTCTACACCAATGTCCTTCTCCCTGATCCCACAGACACAGTGCCACCCTTCTTCCTCTATAAGTGGAGCTATGGCTGATGGGGCAGCTTGATGTGGCTGCTCCTCACCACTTCTGTCCTAGCGCTCGACTGGCTTCCCATGTGCAGTGTCAAAGCTAGCGCTTGCAGCCACTACCTCCGAATGTCACATGCCATGGCCACCTCTATTTTGTCTCTTTCTGGAGGCCGTGTCTGGGACATCTTCGAACCAACTGGGTCTGGGCCTGAGTCCCAGCCTCTGCAACTAGCTCAGAGGCTGGGCCTACAGGTTAATTGCAAAGGCTGGGCTTCAGCCTTCACTTAGTGCCGGCCATGGCTCCTTTTTCTCTGGCGGCCCCTTTTTCTGGGCATGCTGAGGCCCGAAGCCTCACATAGACACCAGATCAGTAGCCCTACTCACAGGATTATCTATAACACCTATATATGCCAGATCAGTAGACAAATCACAGCCTCCTGAGGAATCAGTGTCCGATCCCCCCATTTTTCATCCTTTTCTCCCTTCCTGCCAAGGGTTCACCGGGCAGTCCTCTGCTGTAATATATTGTAATGGAAATGGACATTCGCAAGACAACATCAAATAGCAAGGAGCAGGCACAGCAAAGATCGAGTAGAGCAAAAAATGGGGAGAATCATTGACAACAACAAAAACAGAGGATAGCAGGAACCAAAGGCTGCGAAAAAGCATAGACGCGCGCAACAAAAGAAACAGAAGAAACTCTGGCAGATCTTCAAGCCCCCCATTTTTCATCCTTTTCTCCCTTCCTGCCCAGGGTTCACTGGGCAGTCCTCTGTTGTAATATATTGTAAGGGAAAAGGACATTCGCAAAACAACATTAAATAACAAGGAGCGGGCACAGCAAAGAACAAGTAGAGCAAAAAATGGGGAGAATCGATGACAACAGCAACAACAGAGGATAGCAGAAACTAAAGGCTGCCACAAAGCATAGAAGCGCGCAACAAAAGAAACCGAAGAAACTCTGGCAGATCTTCAAGCCCGAGGCAAGGTTTCCACTCGCACCTGCCTGCTAGGCCAGACCATGTTCCATTTCTAAATGCACCAGTCACAGTGCACCATGCTACAAAACGTTGATCATAAACTGCACGCCTATTGTAGAACAGGACGAGGGAACAAGCTCCACCGTAAACGAACATAAAGCCTCCTTGGCTACAAAGCCAACATGCCTTTTCCTTGTGCAAAGGGTTGCATACAGTTGTTGGGCATTTTCCCAGTCGCCTGGGTGCACAAGCGATCCATCTCACTGATTTGGACATACAGTGGCGTTCACACCAAGGCTAACAACGCCAGCACCATCAGAAAGAAGGGAAATCACAGTGTGTTCATACACTTCCCTACCCTGGGGCAGGGAAACATACGTGAAGGAAACCGAATCATTCTTGAGAAATCATCAACAATATGTACGCGTCATGACATCATCACACTCCATAGTTTGTTCGGATCATCACAGATCAGAGAGAATCATTGAATGGCTCACTGCAAATAAAAAAGCATGGCCACTAAAGACGACCATCCCACTTTTGCTTTGGTTTGCCAGCAAGCTAGATGCAAGACAGCAAATGGATCCGCCCACAGCATCACCCTTAACTTGGAGCTAGGCTCCATTATATCCAAATGGCATTATCAATCACTCGAATTGCATATCTGCTTGACTTCTGCTACACAGTCTAGGGAATTCCACCCAAGACTCCAGGTCTATAAAAAAGATCTGCATTGTGCCCCTCCCTACACTTTTTGTTAAGCTGTAGCAAGCCACACAAAAACAACTGGGAACATCCTTAACTTGGAGCTAGGCTCCATTCTATCCAAATGGCATTATCAATCACTCGAATTGCATATCTGCTTGACTTCTGCTACACAGTCTAGGGAATTCCACCCAAGACTCCAGGTCTATAAAAAAGATCTGCATTGTGCCCCTCCCTACACTTTTTGTTAAGCTGTAGCAAGCCACACAAAAACAACTGGGAACATCCCTTCCAAAACCATCAATATCATGTCCAACAAAAAATATCAGTCACCCAATTAAGTCTGAAATCACGTGCAAGATTCGCTGACCTGAGCAAGATGTGCGAGTCAGCTGCATACTAAATTCCGCTGACCTCCGCAAGACATACCGTACTGTAAATAGTCTGCTTGGTTTCGAATTGTGCATGCATCCTTGTTGTTGTGTCTCTGTCATCCTTTTCTCCTAGACGTGCCTCTGCTTTTCCATAAAATTGTGAAAATCCTCCGACAACTTTCAGGGGTATGCCACAGAGTTGCCTGGACAAGGACAATCTTCAAAACAGTTTTGTTTGTATGGCAATGATCTGCCATTCTTGTGCACAGGACAAAGACTCGGAACCTCCTGATACCCCACCGCTTCTATCTGAATCTGAGCTGCAAAGTCACAAAGAAGCTTATAATGGGAGCACACATTGGGCGAGAAGGAAAGAAGGAAAGTGTTATGTTCTGGGGACATGTTCCAGATTGGGAGGCGTCTAGCGACCAGAAAGTTGTGCCTAACTATATAAATCGGAAAAAGGTAACAAAGAAGCTAATCCTTTTCCAAGAACGAACAAATTCCAGTGAGGCCACCATGCTGCTGGGGTGTCCCCTCATTTGCTAAGCACTGGAATCCTGCTCAATTGCTTGAGAGCTGCACCTGCATTACCTACACATTCGCTCAAGGTTCTGGCTACAATAGAGGTTCACCGCCACGAGCTCCCAGTACCAGCTGCAGGACCGCTGGGTCTAGAAGAGGCCTCTAGGACTAAGGAGCACCAGAGGGGTTGGCGCTTGGAACTCCGACAGAGTAACTCGGTCAGAGGGACGAGGTTGGTTGAGTCCCGAGAACCTTCCTCAGGGGTTTTGTATGAGGGTAGCTGAGAGTGTTGCGAACGTACCCGCAGTACACTACCGAGGACCTATCTGCAGTGGCTTCAAGCTGTGGGTTCTTTGTGGAGGTTGGAACTCATACATGTTTACAGTCATCAAATGTTTGGTGGGAGTTTAGGGGGCAGGGCATTGACGGAAAAAGAGACTTTGAATCTTGTCAACAACCTTGCTGAGCTTTACGGGCACATATATTGGCATGAGTAGAAAAGTTCACAACAAGGTACGTGAGGTTCTCCGCACATACCGCCGAGAGAGCTGCAAATCGCTGGGCGCTCCTGTCTCCACGGGACCAAGCAAGAATCCAGCATTTGCATCTTTTCCCTCCTGGAGAAACCCGGCTGATGAAAGAAGATCCGGGTCTGGTTCCCCATAGTCATCGTCGTCATCATCATCATCATCATTGTCATCGTCATCCAGGTCTGAATCGTCATCATCCCCATCACTGTTCATCCCAGTGTCCAGATCTGGCAACGACTCCCCAAGATCTGATTCCTGGAAGAAGCACAACACCAGCGGCACCAAACCATCAGCAAGGGCCATACATCAGGTCAATTATTGCAGCAGCATCAGCAACATACAAAGACTTGCTGTGAATGCATCATCACAACTGGCCTCAAATTAGAGAATATGTCATAGATTTGCCACAAGAAATGCAAGCGACCAGACCCGTCACCAGGAGTTTCGCAGTCAATTTCAAATGGGTGAAATGCTGTGCTTGGCAGCAACGATCATGAATACGCCAAATCCGAATGGCCACCAGGCACAACAACTTTCAGTATTCCTTCCATGTGTCATGTGCTTCTAATTTATATTCAACACAGCATGTGACAGAACCGGGGACTTCAACCAGTCTGCTAGCTACTGGGGCCGGGACACACAGCCTACTGTCATCATGAATTTGCACTATGTGCTGAACATAAAGGTTGACCACACAAGTAAATATGTGCACTATGCCACGGTGCTGACAAAAAGGTGCCAGTGCTCACAAACAGGCGCCCACAACAGAGTTGGCACAATTGTAACAAACGAGAAGCACAAACTTAGCAATGTTCGAGCAGTTTTTCTCTCGCCACAAGGCTACTTTAAAAAATGATATGCACGGCCCCACAACCTGGATATCTTTGGAGTCACGCGGACCCACAAGGAAAGCTTCAAAGAGTTCCAATGTTTTCAAATTCCGAAAGGGAAAATGTAAAGAACACCTTTGCAGCCAGAACACCAAATAAATGAAGACCCAAACAATGAAAAACAAAAAGAAGTGACAAGTTCATCAAAACAACCATCAGCCTCACGACATGGCAAACTACAATTTCAGTGTGACTTGTGTGAGCCATTCTTTGAAGCAACGCAACACAAGCGAGGGTTAGCACTAACCAGTTGGATTTTGACTTCAGATCAAACCTTTTGTATGACCCTCACTTCCAAGCCACGGTACAGATCATCAACACCTGAACACTCACGACTGAGGCAAGTGTAGCAGAGACAAACCTGAGAGGAACTTTTCATTTTTTTAATTTGGACCATTTCTCGATTTATGTGTGTCATCCTTGCGCAGGGACCATGCTAATCTTCTCTGTACCGTTCGAAGGACATCTGAAAAAAGCTGTTTGACTTCATCCAACTACATCCTCAGCATGGAAGATCAGGCAAAAATCGGACATGGCAGATATGGCACCATGAGAGCTTAACACAGCAGGAAGGAGAACACAGAAAGGACACGTGCCGATGGGCATACAGGTGTTCGAGAAGACAATCCTGGAGTATCTTCGGGAGGCACACGAGGAGAAACATCATGTCAATGGAAAATGGTGAAGTACCTTTCCAGCACCGAGGTCTCTCTTGTCGTCGTGCTCACGGGCATGTGGTACACCAAACCCTTGGTTGCCTCCTGCCGGCCAAAGGTCACCCAAGCTGGAAGGAGCCGTGCTCCCGAGGTTTCCACCACTAAATGTCTCCTCAATAGATCTCGGCCTGGTACCGTCCAACCTTGTTGGCATCGTGCCCTGCACTGCAGCCGTAGGCTCTGGACCACAGATTGCCAAAGATTGTCCAAGATTCTGCCCTGGCATCACTTGTGAACTTTCTGCCCGCTCTTCTGGTGGTCTTTCCTGCCTCCATCCCTCCAAAACATCATGCTCTGCTTGTCTCCCAGTTGATGCTAAGAGGTTGTTCAACTCCAGCCGGCTGTCCTCAAAACGAGAATTGAAGCAACTCAGCCCACCGTCCACACAACTCCCCTTACCGTCCAGAACGGCCTCCTGTTGCTCAGTTCGGTGCTGTACCCGGTCATCACGTGAAAGAGGTGATACTGAGGCCAACCGCATGGGACGAGCATCTTCCTCCAAGGCACCACCTGAACTTGTCATGAAACTCTCCTGTGCAGGCCGTGGGCCCACCTGAGACCCAAAAAGAGACTCGTTTGGCAACTTATCTACTCCAGATTGCCTCAGCTGAAGGTCATTGAGGAGCGACCTGCCAAAACCAGTGCGGGGGGTGGGCTTCTCAACCTGCGCTGGGATCTTTCCCATGGCCACCCCGCCGAATATGTCCTCCACACCCCTTGGCTGAGAGAATGTCCCAACCTCAGGCCTCTTACAGAGGCTATCCAATCCAAGTCTCTCATCCAATCTCTGCTCCGCTATCCTGTGCACTGGAAGCCGCACTCCCATCCTCTCTGCCTCAGGCCGAACTTTAAGACCCAGCCCTTGCTCAAGCCCCAGGCGGTCAACCCCCATGTTGCCCCTCTGATCACAGTTCGGTTCTGCCGGTAGCTGCAACCCAGTCATGACATCAATCATACTAGTTCCTCCAAGGTTCATCCTTTCCGTCGAAAGCGCCTCAATTGAGTTGTTGGTGGGCCATGAACCGGGGTTGGGGAACCAAGGTGGATCTGACTTCTCCACGATCTGATTGACAACGCCACCACCGCCCTGAAGAATACCCGACCGTTTATAAACACCTTGCTGGCTAGAGTTCATGTCAAGAAGACCCCTTGGTCGACTCCTGCCAACACCATGTTGGCTCTCCTGGTCCATTTGCTGCTGTTGTTGCCGCTGGTGATGTTCCGTCTGCTCAGTTCCATGCTGTGGTTCCTGGGGCCGCCTCTGCATCCAGTTCCGTACTGGTTGTGGAGAAGGCTGAGGCATCCGTGGAACAGCTGATGCTGGCCCAGGATAGTTTCGCGGCTGTCTACTCAGCTCTCCAGCATGGACATTCCTGTCATCCACTTGAAATGCATTCTCCATGAACGCCTGCTGTGTCAACGTCAAATCTGCCCCATCCATGCGTTGAATTTGCCCCACAATCCGCCCATCAAAAAGCCCTTTCGGAGCTTGTGTAGCAGCAGCTCCAGTAAGATTGTCCTTTGCTGTGCCAAACGCAGGTGGTGCAGTATTGCTTCCCACACTTCCTAAGAACTGTTGCCCCCGATTTTGCCCACAACCCAATCCAACCACTTCTTGAGAGTTATTTCCTGTCCTTCCACCAAAAAGGCTTTCAAAATCCATTGCGGATTGCATCCTGGCATGGTTGCGCACAGCAACCGCATTTTCAAGATTTGCAGAATTGCCCCCCGTAGGCAGCATCCCAACGTCAACCCCACCAGCAATGTCAAATCCCAATCCCTGATTGAGCAGTCCAGCACCCGATGGTACCTGCAAGGGAAAGCGGCTTCCCACATGGTTGGTACCTGGCAAGGAAGTGCCTTCAAATCCGAAGTTCAGACCTTGAAGCCCAAGACCAGGCCTTGCATTGTCCGCACCCATAGCGCCTGCACTCAGAGGTGTAATTCCGTTCAGATCGAACCTTCTGGGAGGAGGTTCAATGCCTGCGCCAAAGAGTCTTTGCACCGGTCCACCGTAACCCTGTGCCTGTGCATGTTCCTGCGCATGCACCTGAGCCTGTGCTGCTTGTGCCTGCGCCTGCACCTGCGCCTGGACCTGCGCTTGGACCTGCGCTGCTTGCATCCGTGCTTGAACCTGCGCCTGAACTTGTGCCTGTACCTGCGCATGTGTGTGAGTGTGAGCTTGAGGCGGCATGGCAAATCCCGGCTGAGGACCAAGACCCACTCGCCCTGGCTGGTTTAATGCAGCAACCTGGGATCCCAGCCAGCCCCTGTCAGCAAAATCTAAGGAACCAGGCCATTGTGGGGACAGACCAAGATGATTTCCCCCTGCCCACATCTGTGCGTTCTCCATTTGGCGTAATAAGTTCATGCTGTTTGCAACACCGCCAAGAGGACCACCAAGCTGGAGTTGTAGTAGTTGCTGCCTATGCTGTTGCTGCTGTTGCTGCTGCTGCTGCTGTTGCTGCTGCTGCTGCTGTTGCTGCTGCTGCTGCTGCTGTTGCTGCTGCTGCTGCTGCTGTTGCTGCTGCTGCTGCTGCTGTTGTTGCTGCTGCTGCTGCTGCTGCTGCTGCTGCTGCTGCTGCTGCTGTTGCTGCTGGTGATCCAATACTGGTGGCGGTTGGTGGGCTTGATGATACCGATAGGCTTGCAAGTGCTGCCGCTGAAGTAGGGCACTCTCCACTTCTTTCAATCGCAAATGTTGCTCTTTCTCACTGCCCTGGAGATGCTCTCCGCCTCCTTCCCTTAACAAGCTCCCATTCAAACACTGCTGCATACCATTCCCCAATTGTGCGTCAGACGACACCTCTGCACAATTTCCTGAGAATGCCTGTCTCACTTGATCACTACGAACAGTATTTGACTCAACGTGTGGGAGGTCAATTCCCAGACCTGAGTTGCCCCGTGATGACACACTGGACGCCTCATTGCCACCAGACGTGAAGCCCGGGTCTCCTGCTGCCTTCAACTGCACTTTGGTTGCATGAGCTTTGCAATCCAAGGCCAACTTGCCACAGCATACCCTACACAATAGCCGCAAACACGACTGATTCCCCTGAAATTCATCCATCACATAGAAAACGAGAGGGTCAGAAGAGGCAGTCGAAAGCAACAACACATGATTGAAAACGCAGCTGATGCCCACACGCCCCCTTCGAAGACACAAGAAAGAACAGTGTGAAAGGAACCACAGGCGTATTCAACTGCACCAGCCACCAACAGCTCATTAACGGCCTCCTCCAGCCGCCAGCGAATCGATGCTGCATACAGACAACGTTTGAGGAGGTAAAACAGTGCACACCGAAAGTGGACAATCAACGCATTAAACACCCTATGGCATACGCAAAACCTGTCGCGCTCCACTCGACATTCGAAGCGGATGCGTCCACTAGACTTGGTTCATCCATAAAAGACTGGATGGAATACCCGGGCCCCTACTCGAACATGAAAGCGCCACCACCATGTCATACATCCCCTGTTAATCACCGACTAGAACTCTGCACGAAGAACAATCATTCTGCAATACACCAACAGCACCCAGAGTCAGCATTACAATCCCCACAAAAACATCAGGCATCAGCTCATCAATGTCCTGTTCCGAATGGCACAGCTGTGGCATGTTACGACAACCTCAAACCTGTCTAGAAAAGGCAATGCTCTGTTCCAAGAGCCCCAGATATAGTATCTTACAACCAGCTCAAACCTCACCAACAATTCACATGAACTGCAGTGTCTTTACTCGCACTTTTGACTTGCTCATGCTTCACAACCCCACATGTGCAAGAATTAAGCATGAATGCACCAAGAGCGAGAGCACTGCTTGATAATAGACCATGTCACGTGAATGTTGGCGCACTACGCTGCTTGGAAACCGGGCCAACAAAGTCAGAGCATGGAGCCATCCATCAAGGCCATGTAAGCGAGACGAAAGCCACAAACTAAAATGATCTCCTCGTAAAGCAAAAAAAACATGAGTGGCCATCAGTACCATGAATCTTTGGAGTCCCAGCCATACAAGAGATTAACAAGGGAGCACTTGCTACTTAATGCGAGGAGCGATATGAAAAAGAATGCTTTCAACCGAGGGAGCAGTTGCTTACTGCGAGGAAGGGCAGGTGATTGACAGAGGAATAGCCCCCGAATGGCAATGCCTAGATCCAAAAGCGTGAACCATCATGGTGTCAGCGAGAGGAGAGCCGTGAGGGCCAACCACAGGAGAGGGGTATGCTATCAACAGCCCCACAGGCGGGAAGCGGACGGGTGCACAGAAGAATGGGAAACCAGAGCCTGAGAGGCATTTCGAC